GATAGAGCAAATGTATTTCCTAGTGTTGTGACAATGCCAATAAAATGCCTGACAACTTTAGACATAATATCCTTTATAATAACAAAAACGTAAAATGTCCCTGCCATATAAATACTTAGCTGACTAGAAAGCAACTCAGTTATAGTTTATTGATATTTTAAATAGTCTGTGCATTCCCATTTTCTGTTAATTCAGGAAAAGCTACCTAATCCATCAACCATTTCTACTAAGCCAAAAGATATTGCCTAATCAAAAAATGTCACCAAATGTTGTCATTGTTTCCACACATGCACAAAATCATATTCGTGCTGCTTCCATTTAAGTCTGGATTTGTAAATTGGTAAAGATTTAAAAGAATTAAGTACTGTATATTTAAATAAATACACTTGAAATAAACAAAAGATTCAATTACAACTACAATATTTAGGTGACCAAAATAAATTATCAATAAAGTTATTGTTTTCAAGCATGCTGGAAAACGTTACTACCTATTAAAGTTTATTGTTTTCAAGCATGTGATGACGAAATTATTGCATTTGAACGTGAACGATTATCCTTTATTGGTTGATATTGAGATATTTTTCGATTTGCCGAAATTGGTCAACAGTAATATATGCAAGTACCAAGGAAAAATAGCAACTGAAGAAAAAAATTGGTTAAAGCTCTCTTTGCAAAATATTGAAATGTACTAATACTTGGCAATTATCTTGTGAAACTTCTTTCAAAAATTGTTCAAACAATGGAAATCATTGCAAAGATTTTCTTTGTGACACAGAAATTAATGTGAAGGTAAATAAGCTGTTTCTGTTGATCAAAATTGCCTGTAATGAAGCTATTTTTTATTATTCAAGCATTTTTTGTTGCAAATATTGCTCTCTAGAAAAAACAGCCATGTGTTCATATTTTTATTGATTTGGGATTTTAATGCTTCTAATTGGTTTGATGTGTTGATGCAAAAGATGATGCAAACTTTGTATTTGTTCTGTTATTTATCTTTCTTAAAAAGGCCTAAATGAAGGCTAAGTGAGAAAGAAAATATTGCCTTATGGAATTTTTTAAATTAAAAGTACAAATTTGAAATAGAATAGAAAAATACTGTTTGATGCTAGTCAATTTGTACATGAAAGTTGTAATCTAAAATACAATGTGCTGCTAAATTAAATTTCATTTGTATTAGTAGTGTTAAAAGGCAGTACTTGAACAGAGAAATCTTTAATTTTGCTCACAAAAAATAAAACAACTTAGGTTCAGTTTGAATTCTTAAGCTATTAAAACATTCCTAATACAAGAAAATATGGATTCTTGCTTTGCTTAGAAATTATCCACATACGAATTCAAAATAGCACATGTTTCTATGCTTTACTCGTAGGAATTACAAGATGCAAATTATTGGCTCTTGTACCACACATCTTGTATCGGAAAAGAAATAAAATTAAGTGCTTCATATTTCTTTAATTATATTCAGGTATGAAATATGGATTGGTCTACAAATGCTCATCATCTTTAAGTTATTGTAAAATTTTGTTGAAATGTCAAAGTAAATTGTTCGTTTTGTCTGCACAGATGTTTAAAATTAATTTCATTGAAATAAATAATTTTATTTATGAAAGTCTAATAAATTAAAACAAGGCAAACTGTTTTGTATAAATTTCATAAATAAAAGTTTAATATTAATATATATTAATTTATTTTATGCACATACATATTAAGTCTAAAGGAGTCAGAACAGCAAACACTATTGAAAAGTTTACTTAATTATAAACTTTTTCAGCCAACTTTGAATGTATGCATTTTTTATTTAAAATGTCTTATATAATTAGATTAGAAAGTACTGAATTATTTTGTAAGTCCTAAAAAGATATATATATATATATATTGTTTCAAGCCTCTTTATTTCCATAGAATGTGGAGGGATGCTTTTTCTTCCTGCAAGTAAATTGTTGTTTAACCATGTTTCATATGGAGTGTACTTAACATTGGAAGAAAAAGAAATCTCGCTGCTCAAAATTTTGCCTGATTGTTTTAACAAATTTATTCAGTGCCTTAATGAAGACATTTTCCTTAAGTCAGTTCCTTCATCTGTAAGTATGGTATTTTTTAAAAAAATATTTCAATTCATTTTTATCTTAACAAGTTATACATTTATTTCTAGGAAAAATATTATATGAATGAATAAAACTTTTTTTGTAAACCATGACAAGGGATGATAGTTTTTAAATAACAGTACAAGTATTAATATATATTAGGGATCTCTTGTTCAGTTTTCTAATTCTGTTTTTTGTACATTATTGGTTTGTGAAAGTTGGAATTCATAAATTTAACTTAATCTATTGTTAAACTAAAATTGTCCTACTTTGAGAATATCTGGTTGTGGGGGAAAAATGCCTTAAATTTAATAATATTTAGAAATTTAAAAGGTGAAAGACATTTAACATAATTATGTCTAAATATATATTTAATTTTAGTGAAACCTTACCAAATAATTTTTTCTCGGAAACATGTTTTTTTGTTCTCATATTTTCTCTGTTGAAAGCTTTCAGTAATGTAAGATTTTGAATTGCTTCTTATTTCTTACTAGATTTTGGGGGAAAAATAAATAATTGAAATTTAATGTTAAATTCTGCATTATTATTCAGCTTAGTTGTATACTACTAGCTGCATGACCTGGTGTTGCACTGGCTTCTTCAGGTGTATAGCTTTTTTCTTTCAAATTTCCCCTTCGCCTCACAATGTAAGCCCTTCATGAAGTGTTTGTGTGTGTTTTTATATTATCAATAAAATTATCGTTTTCGAAATATCTTCCTCCTCTTTGCTCTTACAAATGGGTATGTTTTTCCTCCAGTGTTGCACTGGCTTCTGCCAAGAGTTGAACATCATTCCCATGAAGATTTTCCCTTCCACTTCTGGATGTGTATATATCAGTAATACTCAACCTGTGGCTTTCTTGAGAGGCCTGGACATTGCCCATTGCACTTAGAAATTCTATTAATTGTGGACAATGTACTAAAAATTAAACATGAAAATCTGTCAATCAAGCAATTAAATTAATCGACTATCAATTTGCTATTTTTGATATTAGAATGTAAACAAGAGAAGCTTGATGATTTATGAAAGGAAATCGAAACTACCCTACATTTCAGTAAAAAGGGCAAAAAATAAATATTTTTTTGTGCATGTTTGATAAAACGAATAATATAGTATCAACATAAAAATCGAAAAAATGAGTTTCAATAACTTGATCAGTTTTGCTCTGTCCAATGTTGCTTTGGTACATACGTATGCGGTCCAGCCGGAAAAAAAGTTTAGTACCCTTGGTATATATGCTCGATGTGAGGGATTTTTATATTTATGTTATTAAAATTCCCTTTTCTGAAATTTCTTCTAGTTTTTCTTGTCAGACAGGGTTCTTTTCCCTCTGTTTCACGGAGTGTTTCCCCAGCTTTTTCGAGGTGGCCGCGGTAGTGGTAAATCGGACCGTGGCTTGCTTTTGTCACGGGTTCGAGCCCAGTACCATAAAAGTTTTCTTCAAATTTCTATTTTCAATTAATAATTTATCACTTGACCAAAAAATTAATTTTATCCTCGCCAAAAGCCCTCGTGTAAAACAATCCGACGTTAATATTCAATCAATCAACCAGCTTTTTCGAGTATAAAACTCTTTTCCCTTAGGATAAAAGTTTTCTTCAAATTTCTATTTTCAATTAATTTATAAAACTAATCTAATTTTATCCTCAAGAAGGAAAGTAGAATCTTATTAGTAAATCATTTACTAATGAATAATGAAAGCAACGCTGCTTTAGTTTCTTAAAAATTATTTATTTATATTCATTTTACAAGCTTTTATTTAACTTGCAATGTAAAGAGTGTTTTTTTCCAGATATAGAAGTTTAAGTTGGCATTACTTTCCAAGATGGCGACCGATTTAACAGCTCTCAAGTGATTTATTCTCAGTTTGGTTTGGCAATTCATCAAAACGATCATCAAGCAAGGCGTAGATTCGTCGAATGGGTCCAAAACGAGATTGCCGTTGTTCCCGATTTTCATAAGCAAATTTTGTTTAGCTATGAAGCGCACTTCTGGTTGAATGGCTACGTCAACAAACAAAACTGCCGCATTTGGAGTGAAGCTAATCCACAAGTGTATGTCGAAACACCGTTACATGCAGAAAAACTGACTGTTTGGTGCGCTTTATGGGCTGGTGGAATCATTGGTCCGTACTTCTTCAAAAACGATGAAGGCTACAATGTTACAGTCAATGGTGATCTCGCGCGCGCGCGTCGGTATAAAGCCATGATTACTAACTTTTTCATTCCTGAATTGAACAATCATGATGTCCAGCATCTGTGGTTCCAACAAGATAGCGCAACATGTCACACAGCTCGTGCCACAATCGATTTATTGAAAGACACGTTTGGTGACCGCCTAATTTCACATTTTGGACCTGTGAATTGGCCTCCAAGATCTTGTGATTTAACACTGCTAGACTATTTTCTGTGGGACTATGTAAAGTCATTGGTCTATGCGGATAAGCCACAAACGCTTGACCATTTGGAAGACAACATTCGCCGTGTTATTGCCAATATACGGCCACAAATGTTGGAAAAAGTCATCGAAAATTGGACGTCCAGGTTGGACTACGTCCGAGCCAGCCGTGGCAGTCCTATGCCAGAAATCATATTTAAAATGTAATGCCATAAGATTATCTTTCGAATAAAAAAAAATTCATGTTAATCGAATAATACATCGTTGTTTTATTGCAATTTAAAGTTCTATACCTCTAAAAAAACACCCTTTAAAATGTCGGGGTGGAATCTTGCAACTCAATTTTGAAGCTGATGTCTTCAACGGATTGAGCTGAAATTTTGTATGCACGTTTAGTTTGGATGACAATGTATGTTTTTATGCTTATTATTCCGATACCGACCTTGTTACAATCTTGTTATGAACAATCTTTTTCAGGTGTTAAGGCGAGCATGTCTACAACAACAAAGGTCTGGACTGGGGGCGTAGCTCAGATGGTAGAGCGCTCGCTTAGCATGCCAGAGTTCCGGGAATTTATACTCCGCGCCTCCAATTATTATTTTTTCGTGTGAAATATTTTTGAAATTCGTTTGATTTGTACAACAGGATATTTTACACTACTTCCACTCAGCACACGTACAAAGTATGTTATATTTTAATGTTCTAGAGGGAACACACACTAAGAAAGGCTGATCTATCAAGCTATTCTATTTACTTTGAAACATTCTATGATACTTATTTACTCGATTCTAGATTCTCTAGTAACAGTTTTTATTGACTTAGTCACTGTAGTGATCTTGTTCAGGTGTTAAAGCGAGCATGTTTACAATAACACAGGTGTCGACCGGGAGCGTAGCTCAGATGTTAGAACTCTCAATTAGCATGCGAGAGGTACGGGGATCGAAACCCCACCCCTTCAATCATTATTTTTTCGTGCAAAATATTTTTGAAATTTGTTTGATTTGTACAAAGCGATATTTTACAATACTTCCACTCAGCATACATACAAAGTATGCTATATTTTTATAAGCTTTTATTTAACTTGCAATGTAAAATGTTCGGGTAGAATCTTGCAACTCAATTTTGAAGCTGATGTCTTCAACCGATTGAGCTGAAATTTTGTATACACGTTTAGTTTGGATGACAATGCATGTTTTGACCATTTATATTCCAATATCGCAATTATTTAAAAAAAAAAAAAACTAGCTGCATGGCCCGGCATTGCATGGGCATTCTCTACTTTTATAAATTATCCCTTCCCTTTACAAAATCAGCACTTCTAGAACTCTTTTTTTTTAAATGACTCCCCCTCCTCCATTTAGTCCTGCGTTGCTTGGGCTTTTACTGAGTGTATAACTTAAAATTTCCTGTGCCAAAATTTTTTCGCTTTTCTTTGCAAGACATGCTTACAGAAACCCTCCCGGCGTTGCACGAATATTTTTAAATGCATAACATATTGTCATGGGAATTCCCCTCCCCCCTCTCGCTATCTGAGCTCTCGAGTAAACAAAATGAACATATTCGTTATTTTATGGATTATTTCCTTCTTAGAATATAAAATTGATAAGAAGTATTCATTTATACCAAATAATCATTACATACCGTTTGCTTAAAAAATGGCATTAAAAACAAAAATCTAGTTTATATGAAGTCCATCTCAAAAGCAGCAAAAAAGAAAGGGTGGAGAATTAGTAAGGTTACTGAATTTTTTTTTCCATGTATGAGCACTCAAAATCTTGAATTCTGTGCTAGGCTAAGTCATGATATTTCAATTGGCTCTAAAACCAGTTTTTGACACCAGTTACGCCCTTCACTTTGCTTGAACTTTTTATTTTAAGTTGAAGTTTCCAAATTTCACACATCAATAAACAAATAACTGTAATTAAAAAAAATGCAAGAAAAATATTGCAGTCATGAATGTTTAAAATTAGTAATTTTTAAGCAAATTTTTCAATCTTTTGTCAAAACAGATAAAATCATTTCACACAGAGAAAAAAAATTGGTGTGATTATTTTTTATAAATGACGAAATTATTAAATGTCCAATTAGAATTTTGAGTATTTTTTGAAAAAACATAAAACAAAGTTTTCAGTATTTAATTTATTAAATCACTTATTCTAAAAGAGCAAAACATGAACTAGTTTAGTACAGAATGTTGATTCATTTCAATGATAAGAAATTCGTACAAAACGATTGAAAAAATGCAAATATCATTATTTTGTTAGAAAAATAACACTGTATTGTGGTGAATTAAATTATCTTTCTTATTCTGTAATTATTTTTAGTCTGTAATTATTTTGATATGGAAATCAAATTGCAGTTTAAAAATCAATGAAAATGCTGAAAAAATTTCCTGTTGGTTTCTGTGGTGTATTAGCAGAATAAACTGCATACAAGGGGCAAACTAATCAAGCATTTTGCCACTTTTAATTAATGTCTTCTTAACTGATTGCAATTTCAGAATTTAAATGGTCAAAAAGGGTTCCTCAGATCATTTTTCACCTTTTGTTACCTGTGGCATGTTTCTGTGTTCAGTTGTTTGTAAGAATATAGCCTTGCATACATTGATAGATACATTTACCTACAAATTTTAATAGTGTGGATTTTTTTATTCACGAATTTGTAAATGTGATCAACATATATAAATTCAAAGTAATACTGTGTAAGTAAGTATAATACCAAAGTTAAGCTGCATTTTTTTCCTAATGTTAATGCTATTAAAAACCTTGTGTGGCTTCGATTCGAAGGGAAAAAAGTTAGTTTGATGGGGTAATTAGATAAATTACTCAAAAATAGCTAATTATTTTCACTTCTTATTAGTTCTCATTTTAAATTCATTTCAATTTTGTAAAATTGGATGTTGATAAACCATTTTACGCTTTTTTTTAATTTTTCATAAAAACTTTTTGAGAATTTGGAGGGTGGTTTAGATTTGAATAAATATGGTTTTTAAAAATAAATTACTTCCTATATATACTGATAATAAACACAACATAAAGTGATAAATTGGAGTTATTGATTTTTATTCTTGGGTTTTTAAAATGTATTAACTATAATAAAGTTTTTTAAATATATTGAGTATATTGTTATTTATTGTTGCTCAGGCTGTCTTTATTAACACTTGTCTTATAATGAGTCAGAGAGTTTAGTTTTGAAGAATTTAAATATAGTTAACATATATTTAGCTGCAACAAAATGTCACACTGTGCTGAAGTCCTGATTGAAAAAAATTGTATTTCATCATTTTATTAAAATAATTCTATTTGATGTTATATCACAAAATTTTTTTAATTAAAAATTATTAATAACCTTCTTCATTTTCATTATTCAAGGCACTGCATGATTTAAAAACTCGTTATGACTAAACCAAACTTTTTTCCTCTCCTCTGCAGCTAATTTGATCAAATATTAAGAATCAAATTCTGATTGTAATAAAAAAAATTCTCACAGCCCTCACCAATTGATTTAAAAAGGATAGGACTTGAATTGAAGCCCAGTGGCTGATTGGTAGTGTAATGAACTTCCACGCCGCAGGTCTGGAGTTCGAATTCCGGGTTGGGTAAGATCGACTCGGCCTTTTATCCCTTCAGTAGGTCGATAAATGAGTACCAAACTTGCGTTAGAACTGAACATTGGGGGTTTTCCTACCGAAACATCTGCACATGTTCCAAGCACCTAAGGTCATGTAAACTGATATGGGCACTGTAGGCTTTGGCCCTTGTGGCTGTTGTGCCACTGAGTTTAGTTAAAGAATCAAAGTAACAAAAAAGTGACTTCCACTTTTTGTGACTCATTCATATATTCATGTTTGAATTTGCATCCTTTCCTAGTGGAGAGAGTTATTTGATGCCCGTGCTGAGTTAAATAAAAGTAAATTGTGGATGCATGAAATTTTAAATTCTTTTAACTGTGAGATTTTAAACTAAGAGCTTCTAATTTTGCAAACATTTCAAACTATGGTAGTTCATCAGGAGAAATAATGTATATATAAAATCTCCTGAAAGATTATTAGACAAAAAACATTTATATGCAGCCACATTGAAAAATATTTAAATGAAATCACAAAGTTAAGCATTTAAGTCAAATTTCAAGTAATTTTCAGGAAGTCATTTGAATTAATTAATTATTTATTGTTTTAATTTCATGGAATGTCAGTTTTGAAAGATTTTCCCATAACAAAAACAATATTTAAAACATTAAGTTGCTTGTGTAAAGCATAAGATGTGCTAAAAAAAATTAGCTTTTAATATTATTGGTACATGATTTTTGCTTTGGTTGTTCTTGTATTGAATTACAGAAATAAAAATAGCTTCAATGGTCCTTCAATTTGAAAAAATGGAAAAATGTTTCTGTAAAACTTTATATAGACTATATAAAATATATTAAGAGCAGGAAAAATTGTTTCATTCTGACTACTGCTGGAGTGTCCTCCCCTCTCCTTTTTGCATATGCTTATAAATGGCTGTTTGGTATTTTTGTTCCATAAATTCCAAAAATATTTTTTACCTGATTTTAGTACAGATTTAGTAGAAATCTTTCTCCGACTAACTTTTTAGTCTTTGCACAATAGGTGATATACCGATGGAATTTTGTGATCATTCATTTTTTTTCTCATTATAATTAATTTAATATCTTTTTAACAATTTGTAATTTCGGATTTTAAATTATCTAAATAAATTCATTCAGTAGTTTGTACGAAAAAGCCAGACATCTGTATTTGTTTATGTTTAAATTTTAGCAATGTGGATTTTAATGAAATGTAATATTTCAGCAATAAGTCTTTTTCAAAACTAAGTAACATTTCTATGAATTTATTTCAACCAAAAAAAAAATCCTTGCTGATTATTTACAAACTATAAATATTTATTTCTTATATGTTTATTACATTTTAAATTATTACAGGTTTTAAGGTTGCAGTTTTTAACGCTCTACTTTAAAAAAAAGTGTACTTTTTACCTTAATATATGTTAAAAGAATTTCTTATTTTATTTAAATCTTATGTATTATTGAATTGAAAGTACTGTATTTTCCTGTATATAATCCGCGGATTTTGTGTTGAAAAAGTTCCAAATTTCCTTGTGCGTATTATATGCCACCGCGAATTATCTGAGAAAAAAACATTCTCCGTCAGAAAAGCGAACAATAAAGTTTTGAAAGCAATGCTGTTTATGTTTTATAAAATAAATAGATGGCGCTTTCATGACGTATTTCAGCTTTAACTAGTTTTTGTCCAATTACATTCAAAAACGAATTCGACTCCTCGGAAGGAAAAAACAGTTACGGGTCGCTGACGTCTCATTTCCAATTTTTTCTTTACTAGAGCTATTACGTCCTTTGAAAGTTTTCATCAAGTTGAAGCGAAAGAGTTAAGCTACACTGCAAACTTCAAGTTAAAAGTTATAGAGAAGGCTTCCAAAATCGGGAAGCTGCAAGGTTTTTCAACGTTGACGAATTGAATATTCGTTTGTGGAGAAAAAACAAGACACACTTCGAAAATTGTGATCGACGTTAAAGTGCCGATCATCGTGGTAAACCTCACTGGCCAGAATTAG